TTATAGATTTTATGTTGATATATCAAACAGTCAAACATTTAAAGAAAGAAAAAATGTGTTCATTCAGGTTTTCATTAATAATCGGTTGAAAAAAGGATTTTTGCTGAACATGCGCAAATAATATAAATAGAACTTGATTGAAAAAAAGATTACTATTGTTCGTAAATTTCGCACATAAATACAGCTTGGAACTTTACTCTTAGAATATATTTTATAGAATTAAAATTATTACAGACTCAATTGTAAGTAAATTTATTGTTATCATATTTAATTCAAATGTTATTACTTTTTTAAACACTTCTTATTATTCCGGTATTCTTTTTGAAATTGTTTAATTGAAATATTTATGAGGTTGTAATTTAATGAAATCCCAAAATTGGATGAAATTTACTTAATATTCTTTAATTTAGTAGCTTAGATCTAAATAATGTACATTTTTGAAAAAGTTTTTGATTTAATTTATTTTGTAATAAGCGCTTTCAATTTATGTCTCAGTTTTAAATTCCTGTGCTTATGTGGAATTAAAATATATATCTCCTTGTACTATTCTATTGATATTGTTTATCAACTGATAGAATCATAATAATTTTCTTTATTGGTTATTCTTTTTCCAATAATATTATTCTCTTAATTTTTTTTCCTGCAATATGACTTTCATTTGATTCTTAATTGGAGTTATAATATGGCTTTTCTTCAACATCAAGAGTTTTATAAACCAATCTTTATTGATCAAAGAACGAAAAAATTCTTTCGGAGAGCAAAAAATTTAATATGTGTGCTAGAGATTTCAGTTAAATTGTAATAAGTAGAAGATATTTGTTTGATAAAAAGTTTTGCAATGGATGAGTGTGATAGAGGAAGAATGTTATGAAGAGCAAATATTTTAATCGAGATACAAATAAATAAATAATGCTTATTTTATTTATTATGTACTTATTAAAAAACAATATTTTAATTGTTGGTTATATGATTAAAATTAAAATTAAATTTTAGTTCGAAAAGTTGCTTATAACCCCTTCGGGAAGTACTTAACTGTTGAAATTATATATAATTAGTGTTTTATTATAGTTCATTATTATATATAAATAATGTTTTATAAATAAAACGATTTTGTTTCTGGAATAAGGTCTGGGGATCGTAATATATTGTTAAATATAAAATGAAAAATATACGGGTAAAAATTTTTTAATAAAGCTAAAGACTTATTCTCTTAACTTTCGAATATTAAAAGAACTTTTTAAATACTTGAGTAAAAAAATATCAAATTAATTTTTTAAAAAAAGAAGATAATTTTGTCTCTAGATGATTTTTTTAATATTTTAATTACAGATGGGGTCCATCGTGATATATTGTTATTTTATTTATTATTTTTTTTGTATCGCCGTAACAATATTTCAATATACATTTCTTTTATTCATTGCAAATACCATTTCTTGCAATGATTATCGAGTGCATGATAAATTATTGCAACTATAAATATCGAATATGATAATATCGTGATTATTATATAAAACGAAAAATATTGAATAATCGTAAACAATAACTATTGTTATCGAAATCAATATTATCGCAATAATTACCCGCAACGATTATGTCGTGAATGTTGAGAATAGCGTATCTCTGCCATTTGATAGATTCTTTTAGTGAAAATACACAAGTAGAAAATATTTTTCACTTTTACACTTTAATCAAACCTTTACATCAGCGTTTCCCAAAGTGTGGTACGCGTACCCCCAGGGGTACGGGAGCAGTTTTGCTGGGGCTCGCGTTCTTATGTAAAATATCTTATCACGTTCTTATGTAAATAGCAACAAACGAAAATTTCAAATTTTTTTTTATTTAAAAACACAATCTGTCAAAGCTGATGTCAACAGCCAGTAGTGATTTTTAACTTTTGTGCAATTTTTTTATAGTAAGAAATTAATTTTTTTTATTAGTAGTACACAGTGTTACAAACAATTTATAAAGGGTACACAAAAGTCATAAGTTTGGGAAACACTGTTTTACAGTAATGATTCAAGTGTAAATGACATGAGGTCTAACTCAGTTTTCATCATTATATATACACATAGATTTTTTCTCACTTGGAGCTATCGTTCCATTTTTCTTCAATTACTCATTTTTTTTGAATAAAAACTATAATCTTGAATTTTTTGTTATTTATTTCTCTAACGAAAATAATGTCTAATGTAGAAATAATTTAAATCTATGATTGTTAGAAAAAATATAACTTCAAATGTTGATATTATCTGTTCACTTATTATGATATTGAAATTTGATATCTTTCAAGCAGCTTTCATGTCAGATCAAAGTTTTAATTTAAAGAGCCCCGGCGAAGGAACAGTTTAGTGAATTTCGCTAAATATTTAGTTTAATGTATGATTACACATAAAATATTAAAAAATCAAAAATGTCAATATGGATCATAGTTATTTAATAATTATATTTGTTAAAATAAATATTTGTTTACGTATGTATTATTTGTTTTCAATGATAATTTATTTACAATTTTGCAATAAATGAGTCGCTCAGAAGCCAATGCGGTTAAATCCAAAACACAACAATTGAGAAAATTAATGTTTTTTGATACATTAGTTTTTAAAATTCCTGGTTTATTAATTTAATTAGAAAAGTGTATAAACTCTTTTTTCGAGGTGTAAACTCTGCAAAAAACAAGACATGTACAGGATGTGTTAATAAAAACGTAAGTATTTATTGAAATAATGACAGCATCTTAAAAATTTTAGGACTTATACCTTTTGGCAGTTGAAAAAGATAGGAAATTTATGTCTTCTAGTATAAACAAACTTCGATTTTTCTCAATCATCACTAGATACAGTGACTAATAGAAAATAAACTGGTTGATTATTTCAAAAATTATTTTTTACTCCAAAACTAAAGTGGCACTTTTCTTTGTTTTAGGAAATGAAAAAGAAATTAAAAAAAAAATAAAAAACACCACATTTTATAAAAATACTACTAAAAATACCATACCCCTTTTTTTGGTGAAAAAATACTACCGTAGTATTAAAAATACTACGTCTGGCAGCCCTGGTTACTATGAATTTCTTGTTTTTCAGTGTTACCAACAAATATCGAAAGAAGAAGAAGAATTTAATTTTTATTTCAAAGTTTATGTTAAAAAATATTGATAAAAGGTGGACTTATTCACAATGGCTTCTGAAATTATTATATAATATATTCAGAAGCTATTAAAAAAATTGCTGTCTAACCTAGAAAAAAGTAACCAACGAGTAAATCCTTTAATAACTAAGAAGATTAATATTTATTTCATCAAAATTTCCAAAAATCAGAAAATATTAAAAAATGGACTTAACCGCATTGGCTTCTGAGCGGCTCAAATGATTATTTTAATGAAGTATACATTAATGCACTTCTTAATAAAATGCGGCAAAATTGTATAATTTCATTGTAAAATAAGTAATCTGGAAAAAAAGAAAACTACTATACTTTTATTTCAATAAATATTAAACAATACAAACAACAAAAACATTTATGAATGATAACATGAGCAATATTACACATCACATTTTAAATTCGGAAAATATCTTATAAAAATAAATAATTTTATATAAGACATAACATACAATTCAAATGGCTAACGTTTATAGTAAAATACATTCTCAGTTTAAGGCACTTAGTGATAAGCGATTGCATTATTAAATATAAGTTGTTGATTTGAAATTAACTGGCAATAGTAAAGGTTTTATCTGTAATTCTATAAATACTTGAATTTCATCTTATTAAAATTAATGTTAATTCAGATTTAAGCAAAGAAATTAATTATTTATCTATGCGTAGTTTTTAGTTCTTTTTAATTTGGCAGAATACTACATTAAATAATACATTTTATTGCTAATTGCAATCAAGTCAAGTGAAATAGTCATAACGTAAATATATAGAACCTCACAATCTATAAAATTATTATTCGAATTAATAAGAGAAAAAAAAACTTGTTTTTACTGCGGAAAAGTAAGTAAATAACCTGTATCATAGAAAAAAAGGAACTTATTTTTTCAGTATGTTAAATACAATATTTTTTCAAGTGCTCTTGTAATAGTCAAAATTCATAATACTGTTATAATTTTTCTAAGGAAACTATTAAAACACAACATATTTCGATGTATTTTAAATCTTATTAATAAATATCATGTAAATATATTTCTTCACATATTTCTTAAATATTACTAAGAACAAATGAAAATCTCGAGAAATTATTTTATTTTTGATTTCTATTATTTGCGACAGTATATATTTCTATATAAATTTTAAAGTAGATACGGTTTTAAAAATATTCTGATGCTTTCAGTTAAGTTTCATTATGTAAGTTTTTGCAGCAATGTTTCTTTAAAAATAAATAGAATACTTATCAAACAAATACAAACATATATAACAGTAAATCAGTAATACCAAGATAATAATGAAAAGTAGCGTTATAAAACGGATATTTAATCAAAAATATGTTATAATGAATTTACAACTTGAAAAAGGGAAATATGAATTTCTTTTAAAAATATTTACAAAATTATTCGAACTGGTTTGAAATCAATGTCGTAGAATTTTATAGATTGAAAATTATAATCAAATTTACTATGCTTTTAACTTTTTTTGAATGAAAAAAAATATTAATTTTGAGCATATATTATGCTCAAGTTTATTCCATAACAACAATTTACTATTTTCACAAAATTTTAATTTTTCATTAAAAATTCTTTAAAATTACAAAAATATTGGCTTACATAGATTTTTTAAATTGCATCACTTAAGTGTTTTGGCAACTGTTCGTGAAAGAGTTTATCTAACACGAACTTGTTTTATAAATTGGCACATTAAAGCATAGAGTTTCGCCCATTCTTTTTTTTTTGAAACAGATTTTGTGGTGGCAACTAACGTTTTAATATTTTTTATTAGTTAAGAATAAACCACTTTGTGTAAAGAAATTAAATCTTTATAGCTATTAATAATACATGTAAATGTAGCAATAAAAATTAAAAAATATATAGTATAAAATTTAAAATTTTTCTTAAAAAAATATTTAATAAAATGGTGTAATAAAAAGCACAATCGAATAATAAAAAAATTCGAACGTGCTAATTAACCAGGAATTTCACCAACTAGGGAAAGTAGTACTTATTTTTTAGGATCTATACAATAACTAAAGAACTTATTTTTCTTTTTAAAAAAGGATGACTAATTTTTAAAGCTCAAAGTTGCAAATATTTAGTTCAAAACTGTTTTGTCTTTGAAGTACTAGTGATATTCAAACAATAGTAATTATATACAAGTTTTTGGAATTTATGATGCATATAGTTAAATAAACCTTTTTACCATCCTTTAACACTTACTTCAATATTTTATTTCAATTTAAAAAAAAATTAAAATTAAATTTTTATGAAGTTTTACGCGCATGATTATGATAGTAATTAGGAAATAATATTGTAATGATTGAAGACAAAAATAAATTCAATACTATTAAAATATTTCATTAAGAGCTCGTTTCTTAAAATTCGTATTTCTTCTTAATATGTGTCGCAATAGGAAAACTATTACGACAATAGCAAAGCTATTAAGCTAAGAGAAACGAGCGTGATAAATTTGTAAAGATATAATTGCGTTAGATAATGTAGAAAATATCAGCAGTGTTGTTCACTTATTTTTAATATTTCAAATTGACCCTAAAAAGTATAGATATATACATGCAATAAAATAATAGTCTTGATACATCAGTCTGTCAAATGTTAAATAGCCCTGTTGGAAAAAAAAAGTGTAGTATGGCAAAATTTAACTGCAATAAAGTTTCTCAGTTAACTATATCTTAATACTGAGTATTTGAAGAGGAAAAAGAAAGCTTATGATAATTTTGGTTTCCATAAATGAAAATGTCTTTATAATAAATCACATTTCACGAAAGGAATGTAAAACATGCTTAACGGACGAATTGTGCAAGATGATAGGAAAGACTGTTTCGAAGCACCTCAATGGTCGTATTAACGCGATTATCAATTTTTAGGCCGGGTCTTCGTCTTTTAGCAGTTCCGTCCCTTGAAGGTAAGTAGTGAGTTCTGTAAGCAACTTTACAGTACTTGTCATTGTCTGACAGTCTCTAACAGACCTCCTTGAGCACAAGGGTTGGTCCATTAACATTTCGTTAAGAATTTGAGACGTGGAGTCTGATAAGTAAGAATCATTTTCTTCATCCACTTCTTCTGGTATGGCTATCAGGGAGAATCTGAGGATGCACATGAGCTCCCTCATGTGAGCACTCAAAGACTTGGCACTCACTAAAAGATCGGCTGTGTTGCAGGATTCGTCAGAGGGATGCTTCTGCAATTGCTCGCATATGAAGTAGACATGAGCTGTGTGATTGAGCAGCGATGTGTAGAACATTCGAAGAACTTCAATAGGATCTGTGTTCTGCAATATAAAAATAAGGAAAATTAAGAGGATGTTACTAGAATATAAAAAATATTTAATATATATTATTAAGTAATATAATGTTATGTAAAAGCGGCTGTTTCCCAATGCTGACCATAATGCCATTGGTTTCGAAATTGGGGAGCCTTATTTGCTGGTCAACAAATAGCTTTTGCGGTCGTTCTTTTTTTTTTTTAATAAACGGAATTTTAATAGAAATTTTTAAAAATGAATGTGACATTATATATTTATATTTCATTATATTTGTAATAATTATAAATTCATTACAATCATAAATTTATATTTCATTATATGCAAAATTGTAATTCAATAAAAATTTTAACTAGTGGAAGAAGTGGAAAAAATACTAAGTGAAAAATGCTATAAATGCATTTATCAATAAACAGCGGATGACAACCTTAGAAATCTTTTTTTTTCTTTCTGGTTAACGCTAAGAATGCGAATATTAAGACGTGAAGAAATTTATAGATTTCGCATAGTTGAAATTTTATAAAATTATCCGCCAGTACGCGTCTTCTTTTTATATTGTTACATTTTCAAATGAAAAGCAGAATTTTATGAGTTTTTATTTTTCAACTAAGATAATTCTTGCATCAACGGAAACGGCTGGGGAAGGATATTTACTTAAAATAAAAGTATGATTTTGTATAACTTTCTATTCATAGTCGACATTATCAATTAATTAATATAAATTGAGTGCTTTGTAACAGGAGGAGTGATATAGTACAAGAAAATTCCACTACTGTATCGAAAATTAGTTTTGTTTGGATTTTAATTTGTCAGCTTCAAACATCAAAATTGCACTTAACAACGTTTTCATTAAAAAGCAAATATGTTTAGTGTTATGTGAATTGAGAATAAAAACAGATGTCATGTAAAAAAACCGCTAAAATTTATTTAGCTTTAAAATAGTTGAGCCTAAATAAATGCACTTTCAAATATGAGAGTATCATATTTTCACTAATATGCTAAATACATTGTAGATTCATTGGAAGATTCATTCAGGGGAATCTCAGAAAAGAGTATGATATAAACCTTATAGATAGTTTATTTAAATTCATCAAAATATCACTCTCTTCAAATATTCTTATCATTGATCTAAGAAGTAAATTTTAGAGTTTATATTATGAAGTTTAAAATCCAATTTGTATGTGATATAATTCTTAAGGAATTTTGCAAATTTAATAGGAAAAAAATCCTTCCCGCAAAAGTTTTTGTGGGCCACGTGTATTCTCAAAACGTTATTTATCTAGTCTCAAATCTAATTATAAACGCTTTAGTCAAGACCTTGAATATTTAAATGTTGATGTAGGCTTTTTACACTTTATAGAACAAAGTAGATTTTATGATGAATAATTTGCATAATTTCATTGAATGTAAATGTATAACTACTCAGAAGTAATGAAGCCATACTTTCACTACCGATACACTTTTCTCAGTTATGATAATTTAAAATCAGCTATTGCTTGGTTGATCTGATCAAGGTGCTTAACCTAATGACTTTTGGAATAGATTCTGCAGATTTAAACGAGGCAATGAAAAAAAGTTCAAATTAACAAATTTGTTTCGTAGAAATACTAATTTGTTTACTCAGAAGCAAAATGAGAAATGAAATCTCTTAAATGATTGAAACTCGCTTTAGTACGATTTCATACATGACTGATTAAGGTAAATGAGGTATGAAGGCGAAAGGATTTCCCGGAAAAAAAGTCGAACACAATGCGTTAAATCTCAATAGTTTATTGATTTCTAATTTAAACATATTATATTACTTATTCTAGTTTAAACATATTATATTTTTATTATAATTATATAACAATTAAAATAGTAGATATTCCATATGTCGATATGGAAAATAAGGACACATGCAGTGCTTAAATGTATCCAAATAGCAGTATAATCCTGATATTCTTCTTTAGATTGCTTAATGTCTCTAACATAAGGAGATAGTGTTCTAAAAACTGTCAATCGTTGCTGTCGGCTTATTTTTAATGACCAGAAAAATCAATGCGAGAAATAAAATCCTTAATTAACAAAGATCCAAATTTTCTTTGATTGTCGTAAGCATATTACTTTTTAAATGCTCTGTTTAAATTTTTTACTTCTAAAATATTTTTTTAAAACTTTTTTTACTTAATGAATGTTTAAATTTTTTACTTCTAAATATTTTTTTTTGCGAGCTTTATTCAGTGATATTTACCTGCGATATTTATTTATCATAGTTTCGTAGTATTATTTTCGGCTATTATTACGCATTCTGATTTTTTTTTATATTCGAAATTAATAGTTTTAAACTGAAAAGGGTATTCCGCTGCATAAAATAATTCTTCAATATTACGTTAGTATACAGCATTTTATGATAAAAACATTGAATGCGCACCGTTTTACGATTTATAAATAATATGTAGGTTATAATTACTTTTATAATAAGCTTTACGTAAAGTTTTATTTCGCTAACATATGCATTTGAAATAATAAATGCATGTTTGTAAAGCATTAATAGGAATTAGATTTTCGCGTCATTACTAAATGATCTTTAGGACGAAGAACTATTAAACGCAACCAAATTTTAAAAACGAATTAAAAACAGCAACAATATTGTTGATGAAATTGTATTAGTTTGTACGTATTTCCGAAATAATCGGTAATTAAATCAAGCCAGGTAGAATCTATGACATAAAAAGTCAATCTGAATTTGAAGTCGAAGAAATTAGTTAATTCGTCGAAGTAAAAAATTTAAAATTAGTCAAGGTAGCTTCTAATTAATATAATATGTTGCATATTAATTAGAAACAAAAGTATTAATATTTTCCAAAAACTTTTATTCGCTAAAATATGTGTTTGATTTAATATCGATGCATGGGACTGAAGTAAATATAAAAAACTTATTTTATATACTTACTAATATACTTTCGGCTGAAGGAACTAAAGCAACAAGAGGTAGTTCTAGGGTTGAACAATCAGGAAGCACATTCTGAAAACATTAATATCCATAACATCAGATAAAACTATCAAATATGTTAAAGTAACTAAATTAAAATTTGCAAGACATATGCATCTGTAATAGAATTTAAATGTTTTAGGTTTGGAATAAGTTTATATGAGATAGATTTTGTTCAAAATACTTTTTCTGTTTTTCTATTATATGATGAAATAAACAAATGTTAATATTAAATTAACTATATCCAAGATTTTGAAATTCACATTCATTAGAAATAATATGTTTTCAAATGAAAATCACAAACATTACGATAACTTTAAAAATATTAAAAGTAGTTTTTAAATTTAACTAAAAGAAACAAAATTGAAATAAAAGTGAACGAGTTTAAAAAATTTAGTAATGCGTAAAAAGTTAAAAATTTATAAAAGATGAAAATTTTAAATTAAAGTTTTAAAAATTTATGTTTTTCTTCTGAACTACTTTACTTTCTGAACTAATAATATTATGCTGTAAACTTGAGCTTTTAAATTTTTACGCACGTCTTACAACTCAACAATGATGATAATAATAATAATAATAATATGCAAAGCGCTGGGGTTCTGAACGTTTTTTTATTTTTTATTATCGGAAAGTTTTAAATTGATTTAATCGTTAATCTTCTACTCCATCTTAAATATGAAGTAAAAATGTTTGATTTCATTCATCCTGTTAAATGAATCGATCAAATCATTGAATTGCATCTTTCGAATGTAGAAAAAATTTTCCTGCTTAAAATATCGAGAGTAATCTATTCACAAATTTGCGCCGTATTGTCCTTTTCTTTTTTTCAGAATAACCCAACCGGAAATGTTTCATAAAGAATATTTCCCTTGAAGATTAGTGGTCTGATAATCATCCTTTTCTGTTTTTGTGACGACTTTTTAAATAAGTACAAATAAATTACTCCTTTATTTAAAAATATTGCACGCATTTTTTATATAACTCTTTTCCCTTTAGGGAAAACCATAATTAACTGCTATTTAATCAATGTTTTCGATTATATTGTAATTGCGAAGGAGTATAGTTGAGAACTAAGTTTCTATTGTCTTACCTTTAAAAAAAATAAATAAAAAAAGCAAAACAAACTCGCCTATCTCAGTACACGAGAATGTTTTTACTATTTGATGTTTACTTTTTCATTTCGAAACCAGAATTGTTTTTTGGATTTATCATATGAAGCCTCTGAGTCATGTTTGTGGTTACATAAGCGATTGTTTTTGCGTCCTTTGAAAATTGTGTGCTAGAGTTTTGTTTGTTGTGAATGTTAGAGAGACAGGAAGATGTAAACTTCACACTTATGTTTCTATTGGCAAATTATTTTCCGTGTGGGAAATTCCCCTGAGGGGGGATTTTGTTTTACTCGTATTGTGTAAATCTTTTTTTTTTAATGATTATTTATAGACTAACAGTTATATAGTCCATAATGGGTCTTTGTAGACTAATTGTTACTCTATTTTAAATCACTAGAACTACCAGAATATGGTAAAACGTAACTTGTTTTAAGCTCTATCGGAGTAACTAAAGGCTCGGTAATTTTTACCGAAGCGCATTGGTGATGATTTTTCTAAAATTAGCAATAAAATATGATTGTATAATTTACGTGATGATTTTATGATTAAAAGTGGTAAAATTTAGGTGTTTTTATCATGATATCTTAAAGTTTGACAAAAAAAATATTTATTCGGTTCAATTTACTTTTTAGTTTTATATTTTTACGAAAGGTATGATAATAAGAACTATTATTTTGCAAACTAGAATTTTTAGTCAACTGGGGTCCCTTCACGAAAGTAAAGATTACATAATGAATGGTTTAAATACAGTATATCTTGGTTTTTATTAAAATTTATTTTATTTTAATATAAATATTTTTATTACCAGAAATGTCGTTAGCATACAATCCGGTAATTTTACCGAAAACTTTTTTCTTCCTGTTGGAATGATTGTAAACGCATATTATTATTTTTGTAAGTCAAATTATTTTTAAATATTTTTATTATTTTTTTCAATAGCAAATTTTAGCTGTTTGTTTTACAATGTTTCTTTAATTTTTTTTATTTTCATGCCAAATTCGAAATAAAACATTTTAATGTAAATTTTTCATACATTTAAGAGTTTCCATCATTTTATATTAATGCATAACATATTATAGAAAAATTGTAATTAGGCATTAATCTGTCAACCATCTTTATCTTGTCAAAATATGTTAGCATGAATGCTATTTAAACTTTTAATGTATGAATACATTCATTTATCTAAATAAGTCGATATTTTTTCTCTTTGATCTTTTAATGAATATTATTCATATGAATGCTGTTAAAATTTTACTAGTGAAAACCATGAATGTTTTAATTGAATACCGTAGAATTAAACCTTAATTTATGTTTCATTTATATCAATACGATTTTTCCAAATTAAAAGTTGTTACTAAAAAAATATTAAATAAAAGTTTATTTGAAGTATTAATTCGAACTCAAAAATATTTGGAAAAATCAAAGAAAACGTTACACGTGGTTAATATACTTAAAATACTTTTATGAGTTTAATAAATCTGTGAATTCATTTGTTTAAATAAATATAAACTGCCTCAAGTTTCTTAATGTTCAACAAATACAATCTTATCACGAAAAGTTTATTTTCACGAAACTAAGTATATCATTGCCGGAATCACTATCATTTACAACAATTGCTTTTTAAAAATTTAGAATGAGTAATTGACCAAAAGTAATCATTATAACCGTTACAATTAACAAGTATATAATGGGAACAAATAAAATAACTCATACGTATGTACGTGAATGTAGATTTTTCAAATAAAGTATTTCCTGACAGTAATAAAATCAGTTGCACTAAGGTCGAGAAATAGATTTGCAATCGTTGAAAGAGTTACAGAAGAACCTAAATGAGTTATTGAAATAGGTCAAAGAAGAAAAGCGAATGTAAGTTCAAGATCTAGATCAGTTACTATTCTAGAAACTATTTCTCTTTAAGAGTAGAAATAGTTGATTTTTTCAGTAAAAGGAGTTTGTACCCTAGTGTTATGTATAGAATATATTTTTTTCTGGTTACATTTTCATGCTAGAAACTATATTCTTTCTATAAGAAACTCCACATTCGTATTTTTTATAAAAAACTTAACATTAATATTTTTTTTTACGAGAAACTTTGCATTCACTCATTATAAAAACCAATTTTTCTTGGCTAAGTAGGACAAAACTGTGTTGTGCATAGTATTTTTCCTCTTTGAAAATAAAACTTCCATAAATTGCGGTTATGAATTGCTGTTATATATATGTTCAAAATATCTTTTTGTTCTTTTGTGTACTTAAAGAATGATAATGCACTTAAGTTCTTTATAAAAGTTTAAATCAACTAATTTAACTGGACTTAATTGCAATTGCTGTTTCACATTTAAATGTAATTCTCACAAATTATAAAAGTCATTTGAATATTAAGATAAAGGATATATACTGTAATTTTTGCTGAAAAAATATTCTGTGGTAATGCTACATAAAAGGAAAAAAAAAACTATTTCAGTATAAATTTTTATTTAACTTTACTTAACTTTATTATTTTTTGTAACAGTATTAGTAGTATTTAACTTTAATTTTGGTCGATAACAAGGTATATTAAGGTACTTTTTAAGTAGAAGCTAAATTTTCAGCAATTATTTTTTGCGATAATGAAATCCATGTTATAGCATTAGACGACAAAAGTTTGAAACTGAAAGATAAATTAGCTCTTTGGAAAATATTTTATTATATTACTTGAAAACTGAATGTAAACGCTTAGACAGATGTACCCAAAGAGGATGCAGCAAGTTGCTATTATAATATTTAATATATATATTCTTTAGGAAATAAATCGATTATCCTGTTTTTACAGCAAAATTTGTGGGTATTTTCATATTATTAGTGACTTTACAACTGTACAGCATGTTTTTCAGGAAGTTACTGTTATGAAAAAACATGTATAATTGGAACATTAATGTTGTAAAAGAATGGTGGAATACATGTTTGAAACATGTATTCTGAGTTTCGAGTTAACGTGTTGTTAGCAACCTACGTACTCTTAACATTTAACATATATTACCCATGTATCTTCAGAAGCTCGAGGAAGGTTTATTTATTGTTATTTTTATGATTGTATTTATATCCATCTTCGTTTTTCTATTAACTGGAATTAAAATGATTAAAAGAATCTTAAATATTAGAAGTAGTATAAAGTATACAATGCTGACACTCTTACTGCATGCTTCCTTACTTTATTTTTAACAGACTTAAATGCATTATTTTATTTACAATATATTTTTATTTACATATTTTTATTGAATATTTTTATTTCATATTATACTATACAAGGTAAATGCAATTGGATTTTTGTGAATATATATTGGTCTGCCATGATTTCGCTATGTATAAAAACCTCTGGCTCAAATAATGTTACCGCAATGCTTCACAAATTGTGAAAAGTCTCAAATCTATTACAGGGTATTTTTAATTCATAATTCGAATGTAAAAGAAATGTATTTAGCAAAAGTATTTTGCACTTCACAGAAGCCACTTTATCGTATTTTATCAATGTATCAGTTTAGGAAAATCTCGAGAAATATGTCATCTTTTTCCTTGAATATTCCAAGTTAGTTTGTCTTGAATTGTAATTTATTGAGGAGATATTTAAAATAATGAAAAGCCATTGAAAGGTACTCACTGTTCTTAAAATTGTTTGAGCAGTTTCCTTAAGTAGTATGGCTTTTGCTTTCAGTTCTTTCACCACAGTTCTTTTGGTCGAGCGGCGTTCCTGTTCGCTTTCAGGAAACTGCAGCCGACTCGTTTCTATAAGAGCACAGGGATTTTGTAGTTTCTCGGCAAAAGAATATTCAGCGACTCTTAGAATATCATCAGCCGGTAAAGGATTGGCTGAAACTGGACGGACAATAACGGGCAGAAGACGGCACAATGTGCCCATTACGATCAGCAGATGAACGGAGGCTGCTTGTTTTGTTCTGGTGTTTTCTGTAAAAAAATGGTTTTCGTCTTTATTTGCTTCTCAGTAAAAAAAAAACTAAAAGTTTCAATATTATAATAATTTGTATCAAATTATACAATTTAAAAAAATATTGCATTTCATAATTTAAAATCATTTTTTTTAAAATTTCCATTACCCACCACTTTCGGCACCATATGCTATCGTAGTACTTAACGGTCGGTATTGCTGATCTCTTTTCTTGTAGTCATCATATAAGCGGATTATAATTTATAACAAATCTATCTAACTATTATTCAAACAAATTGAAATTTTTGAGTTATTTCTAAGCAAAGATAAAAAGTAAAAAGTTTTTGAAAATCTGGTTTCATTCTTACACCGTACAGAACATACTTAAGCATGGGCACATAAATATATTTCTGAAATAATTTGCATAATTTTATGTAAAAAGATGAAGGATGAAAATGATTCATAATATTTGTACTTTATATTTATAATGAAGCATAATGGGAATTTTTTAAACATTTTTACTATGTATTTTCTTACTTTTTCTTTAGAAAAAGGCATTTTAAAGGAACGAAATAAGTTTATTGTTAAAAGTGTAAAAAAATTTAATAATTTTTTTAAAAAAATTGTAAATATATAGATTGTGCAGTAGTTAATAAGAGTTTAAATTAATATTTTTAGTAGTTAATATTTGCAATTTTTATAGTTATTATAAATAGTTCAGCTATAAATATTTTTGTCATAAAAGTTGACTATTTAATTTATCACTTACTCACATTAAAACTCACATTATCATTTAGAAATATATTAATTTGTTAAAAGAGATGTTTCGTAATTTTATTGGTAACATCAATTATTGTATTAATTGGTTAGTTACAAAAGACTTACAAATGGCCACAAACTTCGAGAAAAAATGAAATAAATGTAGGTTTGTAATAAATAATAATTAATTTCTAATATGAAGATTTTGGATAATTTATCTCAATTTTCATTGCAAATTTCATTTTTAGATAATATTTATAAAGCTTGTCATATACTATACTTAAACCCTGGACATACAATTGAATAAAAAAAAAACTAATAATAACGACCTTTGAGACGAGACAAGAGAGGTTAAACTGAAAACTTTCTTAACAATGGTTGAGCATTTCATTTTATTATAAATTTTTTAAAGTCAATAATATATCACTTAGTTCAGTCTACCGATGGTTGTAAATGGAAGAGTTAGGTCAGCGTCCGCTATTCTGCTTTGCCCGCAGACATCACACATGACACAAAGTTGAAAAATGCAGGCTGAATGTCAGAAAATCACTGAAGCATATTGTGTAATTTATTCAGACAAGTGAAAAATTTTCTATGTTTTCACATGTATAAAGTATTCGCACGGCCAAAAACTAGTAAAAACTTATGTATAGTTAAAAATTTTATTTAAACAATTACCTACACTGAAGTGGATGCATAAATTAGTTTGGCTCAAACTGAATAAAGTTTAAAACGAATGTGAAAAATATTATATTTTTAAGCAAAAAAATTAAGAATTGACTTATTTTTAAAAGAATTCTAGAATTTGATATTTCGCTTTTAGGCATTTTTTTTAAAAGAAAATGGCATTCTGAAATGTCAGTTGAAATAAGTTGAAGTGGATTCAGACTGGTTTTGTTTCAAATTTAAAACCCTGTAAAAAGTAACTCTCATCATTACATTAAAATGCATGAAAATCCTATACCTGACGCAAAACAAACTATTTTAAAAATTTTTATAACATCGATAAATATATGAATGAATGTACGGATTTAAAATATCGAAGTGCGTGAATTGAAGCACGAAATATATAAGAAGTAGTATTAAAATATCTTAAAATATCTTAAAAAATATCTTAAGATGTGTTTTATTTGATGGTTTGTGCACCATTCAGATCAGTCTACTGATGGTTATAAATAAAACAGTGGTCAGTTACCACTTTATCTAGAGATAAGAGCTAGTTGAAAAATGAAGGTTGCAAGCCGAGAAATCACTGAAGCATATAATTTAATTTATTCAGACAAGTGAAATTTTTCTGTGTTTTCATTTTTATGAGGTATTTAGATAATCAAAAACGCATCCAAATATAAAGAGCTATAAAAATGCTTTGATTTAAACAATTATCTTCAATGAAGCGGATGCATAAATTAGTTTGTTTAACAGCATTCTTAATAGTGTAGTGACGACAAATCGAAGAAAACGATGCTGTTATGAGTGAAATTATCACGATATCACACCACGCCGACAACCTTGTGCTTGACCTCAACCGCTAAATATATTTCGTAATTTTTTTCCAAGTTTAACAGAGAACTCCAAACAAACAATGGCTTTTAACCAATAACTTTCACACTGCGAGGAAATTCCAAAAAGGTAAATGAAATAGGGAATTCCGTAGAGGCCCCAATTGGAACACCTACGTCAGCGTGAAATGACGACATCATTTAGTTGTGTGTCCCCTTCTTAGAACACGTGTATGAAATTAAATAATATTATTACTTTAAGGTAAGAGGATTTTGCCACGAGTCAATCGTCAAGAATTTAATGAGATCCAGAACTTACCTGTTTTTAAAATTGTTACAAACAAAATGAGACTTCTCTTAATTTTGAATGTCTGTAAGATGTATCAAAGTGATCGATGAAGAATTAGTAGCAATAAAACCTGTGTTTTGTATTGGTTAAAAATATTATCTGATGTAATTGGAAGGATTAGAAGTTGTCTTTATTATAAACTTGACAAGTGATAAAAAAGTATCGCAGCAGACCTAAGATCATCCCCCAGTTTTGCGAATCAAAATGGGTTAAGATTATATGAAATCACCTTGTTGTGGTTTTAAGGCTAATATGTATTAAAATTTTAACGAGCAACTTTTTCGATAATTTTCAAATAGTAGTCGGTAGCAGAATGTTAAAATTTTGCTGGCAAAAATTAGAGCACAGGTTTTTAATTTTATTTTAACAGTTTATGATCTATTGAGCCCAAATGGAACATGAAAAACAATGTTCAAATATTTCTGAAAACAGTAGTGGTACAAATTATCTCTAAATGAGGGATATATTGAATACAGTTTTTCGCATTTTTCATCAACTTCAACAAAGTATCCCCATCAATAGATAGGGGGTTAGAATCTTATAACAGTTGGGTTAACGCAGGAGGTTTTCGAAATTTTCTTTTCAAATAACGGCTGATATGTTTCACTCCAAATGTAATCCAGGAAGATGAGTGAGTTTAGTTTTCTTGGTTTTGAGGTTAGATATGAAGTAAAATTACAAGACTACGGAATTGCGCAGCCACAAAGTTAATATAAATCTGTTGTTCAATGGTGAATGTAAAATATAATTTATCAATGCTATTTTGTTAGCAGTTAGAGGTTGCTAGGCTTTTCTTCTATGAAATTCAAATTTGAATTGATAATCGAAGCCTTTAAAGAAAAGGAGTTTGCCTCGATTTTTAACTCTGGAGTACCCTTGTCTCCTGAGTTTAGTTTAAAACTACATATTTAGATAGGGTAAAGCTTTTATAATCCTTGAAATGACTTTTTTCGGACCTATACATATTTATAGTGAAAAATTAAGGGGACGGAATTTTTGAAAGACACTTGATGTAGTTGAAATTAACCTAGAAACGTCTATAGCTAAAATAAAGAATTTTTTTTTGAGCAAAGAAATATCTTGTTCTTAGTACATTGTAGAGCTTTAACTCCAGTTTTTCATTTATTTCAAAGTTTAGCAATACTTAAAATCTTAAACACAATATTTAAAAATTAAATTCTTAAAAACATATTACTGTAAAAATCTACTTTTTCTAAATTTCGTGCTCCCATAAAACAATAGAAAATGTAGAAACTATACTTAAAGTTCATTAAATTTAGATCAAATAAATGATTAAAAAGATCATTTAACTTTCTCAAAAATTCTTATTGAGGTAAAAAAACAAATAAACATTTTAGAATTCAGTAAATTTAATTAAATAATTACTAAATGAAAATTACAACACTCTCGAAAATTATTAGTCGTATTAAAAGAATGAGAAACGTAAAAAGTTTTGTAAATTTTAATTAAATATTAGAAAAGAATTTCAACGCTAATATAAATTTTATTTAATTCTGCGATTAATTTTGATTTAAGTTCTAGAAAAGAGTTTTTTCGTAGAAACTCTTACCTCTGTGAAAAGAAAAAGAATTAAAAGTTGAAAGCTTAGCAAATTTAATTTAAATAAACGGTAGGAAATAAGTTTAACCTACGCAAAATTCTAGCTCCCATAAGAAAAATAAACAAACATAAAAAGTTTAAAGTTTAGTATGTAATTTAAATAAACACTAAAAGTAAGTTGCAAGTTTTCAAAAATCTCTACCATAAAGAGAATAGAAATTTAAAAACTGTTCGTACATAATTGTTTCGTACATAAAAAATACACTTTAGGTCTATTATAGAATAGATTTACTTATTGAACTTGGAAAAGGTGACAATAAATATCATCTTAATGTAACGAGAAAAAAAGTTCCGAAATTCTTAACCTATAATTTGAAGCACACTAAGAAAAGTAAAACAGAAAGAAATGAAAAAAAAAAAGAAAGTTTAGATTTCAATAAATAAATAGTTGAATAAAAGAGAAATTCTTATAGGAGCCGTTGACACCAGAGAAACACGAAGGGAAAGCCATATAAAAAGGATATCCGCAGCCGAAGTTACAATGGCATTTCTGAATACCAGACAAGAATAACCGCCCTATAAGTGAAACCGAATTTCTTTAAAAAATCTTATAACCCATCTGATCAGCAAAGCGCGAAAAAGTTTGAGTTCACAAGTAAGCATAAGGGTACACGTTAGAAGATTTTTCGGAAACTGTTATTTTACTGCTCGCGACTTTTTCTTTCTCTTCATAAACTCTTCTTTTTTTCTTTTTCTTATTCTCTACCTCTTAACTTTCGCGCTTCGTTCGCGATCGTTTGCCCGGCGAAGAGTACGTTAACAAAAGGATATTTAAATTCAAATTTATACCGCTTCTTCACTTTTTCTTTCAATGAAGAGGATTTTGGAATTCTCCAAATTTGAATGAAAGTATTTTGTCTCGAAATATGCCATCTTACTTTCTAATTCTTAAACAGGATCTTTTTATCGATATTAGAAATACTTCTCAGATTTCACAATACAATTCTTTTATAATTCTGAGACACGAGCCTTAAATTAACCTATATATTTTGACAACATGAGTTCAAATTAAGTATTTCAGAAAAATATTTTACTTTGTAAACTAAAGTAATAAATATACATTACATGAATTTTTTGAAATATATATATATATTNATATATATATATATATAATAGGAATTTTAGGAATTAAAAAAAAATTCAAATAGCAGATCATATTTGATAACATACTTTAAACATTTTATTTTTGATCAGATTTTCTTATATTTTATTTTATAGCAACTTTAAATTTTATTAAAACATACATTGTTTAGCAATGTTAAAAAATATAGCTCATATAATATTTTTTAATTTAATCCACTTTGGAATATTAGTATTGTAAAAAAATTCAATTGTATATCAGAGATTTTTTTAATACTTTCAAAAACAATCTTTCATAGTCTTAAGAGTGTGCGTACTAGTTTTTTTTAAGTATTCTTAAAATGCATCAGCATATTTTTTTTGTAAGTACATTTGAATCATGTTTCACTTATTTAGTTATCAATGATATGGTTTTGATTCAAATATATTCAAATACATATTTTTTTATATTTGATTTGTTAATATTTTGACGTATGATGTTGATGCAAAATTTAATAACAGCTGAATTCTAAATTGAAAGCATATTTCTATTAAATATCAAGTTTGATTACTTCTGTACTATATCTAATATTCAATCCTCAGTATGTATACTCCAGAAATTCTTTTTTCTTCGTTATCAAAAGTGTCAATTAAACATATTTGTATATGCACATTTTTGACAGTTAACAATGTTTGAAAACATTCTCATATACATTTGAAAATAACTATGAGATCCATAAGTATTTTGTTTTGAATTATAAGAGTAGTAAATGCTTATGTAAAACAATATTATTCAATAATAGCATTATAAAAAATATGTACATTTATGAAACAAAGATCATAGAAGAAATTCAGAATTAACTGTGGTAACGTTGGAATTTTGAGAAAAAAAAAATGATATTATTTTTCATTCACAAAAAAAAAAAATATGAAAGTTAAATTTTCTAAATCGAGTGGTTTTTTCAATTACTTTGATTCTTTTTTCTTTTCCTCTTGTTAAGAATTAGTTAAAATTATTATAACAATTCCGTATATTTTGTTTTATATGCTGATTACATTTCTCATTTGTATGTATTTTTTAATAAAAAGTATCATATGTTATTAATTCCTAAACTCATTGCGATGAATGACTCTTTTCTAAATCATATTTATATGAAGGGAAATGCATTTTTAGTGTAATGAAACCAAAATGTCATTCATAACTGTAAATGTATTACAGAATATATGTTACAAACAGTATTGTTGGAGTAGTTAATGTTAACTAGCTAAAATTAATTAAAACATAATCTTTGGATGAAATCATAAACGTTCCTCAATAATATCTAACATCAATAAATAAAAACGAATGAATACATTTAACAATCCCCAGTCCACGTTCAAACAAAGCATACGAATATATTAAAACTTTTCGTATGCAGATGATTATAGTATTTAGCTGCAATAAAACGCTCAGCTCTCATCCGAATAATAATTACTCATTCATGTGACAGAAACGGGAAGGATTGATGGATTAGTAATTTATCATTACCTAGTTTGTCTTTTTTCCCCTATTACTTTAGCCGCGAGTTTAGGGTTACCGGGCATAATAAGACAGACTCTTATCACACGATATGATTTGAATTTAGGCTTCTAGATGATGAATATTTCAGTTTCACAAAGATAAATCATGTTTGTTTCAAAAAATAAAATTAGATTTAAGCCAGTTTTAGGTTAGACAATCTTTTTTTAAAAAGCAATCAGTTTAAATTGACGCGTATCAAATGCTTAAATGATATTTATTCAATGAATGATATGTGCTTTGCTTGTTGAGTATAATAATATGAATATAAGTGATTATTTTTTCTGTGTTGTTTTGTAACCTATAAAAACAATTTGGTTTCCTTGAGATGAAATTGTATAATTATGGATGCTAATTGTAATAGTAAGATACAAAATTATAATGTGATCTAGATAAGACTAGAGATGATTGTTTTTAATTTTTTTTTTTTTTACATTTATTTTTTCTGTAATATTAATTGTTACGTTAGCTGCATGTTTTGTTTTCTTTTGTTTCAGATAGTATAAAATTTCAAAAAGAAATTTCAAATTTCAATTTATGTGGATTACTTTTTATACATGATTAAGGTAAGTTTACACTCAATATTATTAAGATATTACTATTGACTGCAACATTAAGTTTTACACATCATTACATGTAAAGAATTTTACTTAAGGCTTAGAACTAAATTCCTTGAACACTTACAGAGAAATATTGGATTACTCTCACAGGGTTAGTATTTTTATGTAAGTTTTATTCGGTGGCGAATAAAACTTATGGTAACATTTGTTTATGAGGCAAACACTTTTGAAATAATCAATAAGAATAATAAATACATATTTTTTAAAATCGTTATTAATATTAGCATTCATATTTTTTTGAAACCACTTTAAATTTATTGTACACTTTAAATTTATTGTTAGTATTCATTGAAAATATTAATAGCCATACAATTCTTTACTTCATTAATAGAAATAATGTACATTACATTTGTTTGAACTATTGAAAATAAATGCATGTATGCATTTTATGAAACTATTAAATTGACATGCATACATTTGTCAAACCACCTGATGAGAGAAGCATGTATACAGATATATACATATGTATATAGATATATTTGTTAAAACAACTGAAATATGTATACATTGATAAATAGTACACAAATATTTGTTATAATAATAGAAATCGAATAGAGCTAAATATGAACGCGTTTGCTTGTAAAATATTATTTATTATAAATTATTTTTCTTTATTTAGAAAAAATGTTTGGAATGCATTAATTCAAAGCATCAATACTATAAATGTACCAATTGTTATGATTTGGATTGAGATAGAGTTTAAATATGAAAAAAACTATAAATTGTACAAAACGTGAACATAATATATATAATTTTTCTTACCGTTTTTTGTTTTCTTTTCTCTCTTACGGTTTTCATACTTTGGGTGACATTTACGTTTGTCTTGTTCCACCATTACCAACAATATCAACACGAACTATTAATTTAAGTACAGCACCCTCAAAGGAAAAAACTTTTTATCAAAATATTTAAAGACTGATAGTATGAAATGACCAATCGAATATGCAGTACAAAGTACTGATCCCACTGACCGTATAAAAAAAGTCTTCTCTGATGACCGTATGACAGTAGAGTGTCCCTTCATGATTCCATGCCTTATCTTCTTATATCAAGACCACACCGTAGTTCGCGTTTCATCAAAGAGAAGACACGCTTGCCGGTAAAAAGAACAACTTTGGCTTGAAATCGCCGATGTTGGCGCCTCTTTTTTAATAAATTTCGTGTGGGAAATTGTAGTTATGGGTTACGTGATCGCAGGCACAAGTGCGGAAAACATGCCGCTCTCTGAGAAATTAACGGTATAGGAGTAATTAGGTTATAGTGGTGGTGAAGTTTGGCCTTTTTGGGATTATTGATACCGTATTTTCATTGCGGCAATCATTATATAATACTAGAAAGGTGTGTGGGAGAGAAAACGTTTCTCATCACTTCAAGGAATTGGATATCGAAGCTCGCAGACTAAGAGAATGCGGATACGCAAATTGTACTAGTATTGAGTTGTTCTTTTTTAAACGGAGACATATATGCAGATAAATTTTGTTTTAGTAGACAGTTTTTTTTAAAAGGGGGATTCTTGATTGTAATTTTTATTTATTTATATTTTTTCATAGAAAAGTATTTTTAATTCTCATTTTAAAACTCCATTTCTTTTAATTCTAGAACAATGTATAAAGGATTTTTTTAAAAAAATTAGCGAATTTTTGAGACAGATCAAATGGTTTGATATTTAACAAACAGCGTGCAATCTTTAGAAAGTTTTCATTTCCAATTAACTTTTTTTCGTAAAACTATTTCATTTAGTAAATATTGGAAGATTCCTAGTTTTTTTTGAAAAGCAAATATTTATACAAAACATTTTATCCACAAAACATCCCAATACTTGTATAATATTTATTCATTTCTATTTTATGAAAATTGTAAATGAAAAAAATTTCTTATAAACATACGAATGTTTGTGAATTCATTTAAATGCAATAAAATTCTTTAAATAATACTATTTCATTTAGATAATGTCCGGCAAGATTTTAGTCAACATTTAGTTACAAAAACATTTATCTTGCAAATATCTGAATACTTGCAGAACACTTATCAATTTTAGTAAACGAAAATATTAATTTAAAAGAACTTTATAACAGGACTTTATTCATTATAATATAACTAAAATTTTAAAATAAGTCTTTTTTATCTAGTAACTATATTCGAATACTTGTAGAACATTTATTTCTTTTTATGAAAAGAAAAACTTATGATAAAACTACTTGAACTTGCAAAAATTCGATTTTTGTAGAATAATTATTAAATTATTGCGATGAAAAGTTTAAGATAGAAATATTTTTTCTAGAAATAATTGAAATGCTTGTAATTTTTTAATTTCTCTTAATTACAGCAAATTTACCAAGATGAAATTATTTTATCCAGAAAATACTCAAATTCCTGTGGTAATTTTTGTTTTTGGAACAAAATTTAAGAAATAAATTCTTTCATTTTAAATAAATAATATTTTTAGTAAACGTAGAATATTTTTTAACGATGCATTGATGGATGAATAGTTGATATTAATGAACATTATTTTTTTTATTTTAACTTTGAAAATTTATAAAAATTGATCGGAAATAAAATATTTTATCCAGCAAAAAACATAATAGTTATAGAATTTGTTTTTATTTTATTTTTAAACAAAATTGTTAAGATAAATACGTTTCGTCAAACAAATATCCAATTGCTTGTGGGATTTTTATATCTTTTATAAACAAAACTTAATAGTGATAAATATAGAATAGTACAAATTGAGTCGTTTGTATAGAGCAATGTCGTTCATAAACTGTTACTTAAATTATGGAAAGTTATCGGATAAAATGTAGCATTAAAATTAAAGAGGGAAAAATAGAAAACTATTAATAAATCTAATTGTTTTTATCAAGAAAAAAGTTTGGTTTTATTAATTTTTTGTCTAAATAATTTATTAAATTTTATTTAATATTTTTGAATTTTGTGTTTGCAATAATTAATACTTTTAAACTTATCAATCACATTTTAAATTGAAGTTTATTTCTACAATATCTTTTCACGTACTGCATGGTTAAACTTGGAGAAACAAACGCTAGTAGTCTTGCAGGGAAAACGCCTCATAATCATATTATTGTTTTTGAAATATCAAATAATTTGTCTTTAAAATGCTTGTGATATTTTATTTTAAAAAGAAATTTTCTGTTATATGTAATTTGTTATTTTTCACGAAATAATGTATTTCAATGTAGAAACTAACAGAATAATAATTTTAGCATTTCTCAATACTTGATGTAGTGAGAATAAAAACAATTGAACTTCATTAGCTATGAAACCTCTTAAATAGCTAATAGAATGTGTTTTTAATAGTTAATTCTTTAGTTATTTAATAAAATAAATAAATTATGCAATGATTTCCGTGAATATAATTCATTTAAATTTTTTATAATAATTATTGTTAATTTTTGATTGATTTTGATGTTAACTATAAACACATTTGATAGCAAAAACTTACTTTACTTATAGTATAAGTTACATTTGGTTGCAAAAAAACATAAAAAAAAATCTGAATTTTAAAGCAGCATCTACGAAACTTTTCGAACTCGTAAATAATTCGAACTTTTCACTGAATTTGACTCGATTTGAATTATAAAGTTTGTGCAATGCATGGTATGGTTATAAAATTGCAAATTAATGCTAAAAATTTCTTATGGCTGATTACGAATAAGCTTGAATAAATTTATTTGTAATAAGTCGCTATGAAAATGCATTTTGAATTATATCTTTGAATTATACATAGGTCTAAGTTTAAAATTATAGGATATAATTTTCAATCAGTTGAGATGATAATTTTATTGATTAAAAAATTGTTATGTTAAGATGTTGCTTAGACGTGTAAGCAATTTATTTATTGAGAAAAGTAAATAACGAAAAAAACGTATAAATAGTTTATTAAAGAGAAAATATGTTTTCCTCACAGTTATTTTGAATTCTTACGCTCTTTCAATAAATTCTGAAATCATCAGTTTTCTCTTTCCACCAGAGACAGAAAGAGAAATCACAAAAAGCTTCCACTTGAGGTTTAAGAGCATACAAATAGATCTTTTCGTTCTTTTGTACTTCTGATTTTTATTTCCTTTACTTGTTCTCTTGTGTTAGTCGAAACAATTGCCGAGTGAAAAAGAAACAGTTATTTTAGGCGTTGGTTTGAAAATCATGTCAATTAACGTTTTCTCAAAATTAAATTTCTCAGTGATTTGCAAGTAATCTGTTAATGTTTTAATCTCAATGAGCGTTTCTGATCAAATACAGTTTCTTCTCGAATTTTTTTTAAGGATTTTTTTCCAAACTTAGTTTTGTTTTGTAAAATAAATTTTTTTAGTCCTTTTATTTTTTTTAAAAATTTTGTTTTAAAGAAATAGGGAAAAGTAGAGTAAACTCAAAATCTCAAATTCAAACGAACCATTCGAAGTTTTGTGGAAAGGAAATTAAAAAGTTGAATCAAGATGAGTTGTATCTCGTTTGTGGAATTATACTCAAAACCTATACATTGATATCACGATATAATTTTTTTCATAAATTTAATTGTTTTTATTATGGTTCTTTCTTTTTCTGATTTTAAAATATTATTTTAATTTTAGTATGCTTGCTTTCAGTAACAAGCAATTACTAATACACAGTGTATTTTTTATCATGTCTTAGCATAAAAGTTGATTCATTTTGCTTTGAAAAATAATTTAAAATAGCATAATTTGTTTTGTGAGATATAGCAATATTTTAATGAGGGTTGTAGCATCATATTTTAATCGCTAGTAAAATTTTGCAAAATGTGTTATATTTTACTAATTATAATTATGCATAACTTGCTGCATACATGATTTTGATGACATCTTGCTGCATACGTGTTTGGACGGAGGGGAAAAGTAATCGTACATGGTATATAAAAAATCGCTACTATTTAACAATACGTAACCATGCGCAGAAAGTAAAAATTAAAATAAAAAACTAAATGGCATATTCTGTAATAATTTAAAAATATAAAATAACTTATTTATTTCATTATTTAATAATTTAATTATTTGTATCTGTTTTCGGTGACTTAACATTATTAGATAAAGGATAACACGATTTTGAAAGCTCTAACCAAAAAAAAAAAAAAAAAAAAGAAAATATTTTACTTACATATTTAAGACTTATTTTAAAAGATTAATTAACCCTCTAAACATTAATCTCGTCTTTTCCCGAACTTTCTTACCTGAAGAAATCGGTTTCTTCATGTAATTTTGAATGAAGAATAGTGCGTAGCAGGAAATTTTCAGTAAAATTTTACTCAGGGACCCACTGCTACATTATTTAGGTTTTTCGAAATCTCGTTCGAAAAGCTAAACTTTTAAACACAACTAACGCGTGGGTTCAGGAAGTTACATCATACCAATTCAATGAAGCGCCACCTTATCATACCATTCATGAATCTTCCTTTTATTAATATGGATAAAATATATTATAAATTACCATTATTTTACATTGATTTTTCTTCAGAGCCAGAATAAGACTGAATAAAAATTTACTGAAATTAGTATTTTCTATTTGTAGACAAAAACTAATTTGTGAAATTTAGAGTGAAATGGTTATTGATCAAATAAGTATTTTCTATGAAGATAGGTATTTCTGTAAGAATAATTGAGCAAGAGAGCGCAATATACCTCACCCGATCCATTTCATCATTGCTTTTATTTACGAAGTTTTCAGATTATAATGATTAAATCACGAAGCGAGAAAATTAGAAAGAAAATTGCACGTGAATTCAAAAGTTTCTTGATAAATAAGGCTGTCAAAATTATTTGATGTTGCTGTTTTAATTTTCAAAGAATGCTTCATTTCATTATTAAAACGAACGCTTTAAATTAAATTAGACATATATTTCTATAATAATTCAGTTTATTGGAAGAAATCAAAACTTTTTAAACAAAATACCAATATATCAGGACAAAAATAATAAATAATGAATTTAATTCGATTTATAACTATTAATTAGTTTCTTTTTTTATTTATCTTTTTTATTTAGTCAAAGATGTTTAGAAATATTCTTTTATAATTAGAATCACTTATCAAGAATACTTAAACACATCCTTGAAAAATAACCACAAAAAGTATCCTTGATGAGTTTCTTATTTATGCTTCTGTATAAGTAAATGCGGTCTGCGCGCAATGCTGACCTTACCACCGCATTCATGCTTTTGGTCTCAAAATTGTGGAACCTTAACCT